ATGCATTACTTTGTGACTCTATATCATAACAAGTACTAAAACATTATAAACCAATCAGAATCGTATATTATCAAATTCGATCATGAACCCACTAATTTAGTTTTTTTTTTTTAGAGAAAAGAAATATTTCTTGAAAATTAGAAATCTTTATAGGCCTGAAAAAGGCTTTATTGAGAATGATCCGTCATGATAGGAAAGGGCTATTTTTAAGTCTACAGAAAGAAAGAGAACCCTTGATATTTTTGAAATCATATAATCCTAGTAATGTCAGATATAATAATTCTAGTAGTATATTTATATCCATGTAATAAAAAAATCGGCTTAAGACAGAAACAAGTCAAACAGGTGGATGCAGTTTTATTTCAAAGAATTGTGTCCTCTGCATGGTGAACTCAATAGTGGTTCACGGTGAGCTCACACGGATTAGAGGTTCACGTCAAAACAATGATGGCTACATAAAAGAATTCCTTAATTTTCCACTGAAACTTCAGCGTTTATGAATAAAAATTTTTGAATTTCTTTGAGGTGAAAGAACCATGTGAACACTTTCTGATTTTCCCAGATTAATAAAAATATTTGGCGATCTGGATTTGTTAGTGCTGTACTAGAGAGGAAAGTGATTACCGGTAGGCCTTATTCTACATGCAAATACGTACAATTCACGAAGAAAATGAAGTTTTATTTAAATATGGAAATAGGTATATACAACAAAACTTATTTACATCTATTGTTCATAATGATAAGATAGTATTTACATGTACATGCAAATCGGAAGAGCGCAAAATTTTAAGCTTATACTGGTTATACGGATTTCATTCATAGAAATCTTTAGAACTTCGGGATAATTTACCAATAACGGGAAATTATTGCTCTTGTAGCTACATATACAATTTTTATGCGTACACCATTGGGAGCCAATGCATCAACAAAATTTCTGAGGCGTCTTCAGTAGGGTACTTTGAAACGTAATTTGAAATCAGATTAAAAAGAATTCTATTACATATCGGCTACGAGGGTATCGTATAGCATTGTTTTTCCGAGTGTAACGAGGCATAGCATACAGGCTTATTTATAGAATGTCTCTCATCCTTCTCATCCCTAAAGGTATGCTTGGATGAGGGAACATTATTCTGCGTAACTGTATGAATACTGCAAGTAAAACTAAAGCAAAATTCATAAACAAATTAAGTTAAAAAAAAAAAAACCCACATATTTCAAACACAAAAATGATGATGATATTTCTTTGAGATTTTAAAAGACAAAGAAAAAAAACCTCCCGTATCAAAGGATACAAAACTAAAATTAATTCTCTGAGAAATTTTGCAAATACTGAAGACGAAACACTTTGCGCATTGTCCTTAGTTCATTTATATAAATTTTACAGTTTCGACGTACATAATAAAAATATTAAGTAATTTCCTTAAAAATTAATTAATTTCTTTTTACATCAAAGGTGTTTATACTGCATTCATCCCACAATATCAATTACCGTAGCACGACTGCTGTAAATTGATAATTCCGATATAGGTAATAAACATAAGGTGAATATTCTTATGCAACTGTTTTGTAAAAGGCATTTTGGTTGGCTTATGCAGTGATGTTTGAGGCAGTGATGTCATACTAACACGATGCAAAAAAGATCTCTCATGAAGTATTTCATATAAAAAAATCGATAAAATAAAACGTAAACGTAAAATAAAACGCAATAATATTGCATTAGAATGGGAATAACTGTCTTCCCATCTGTGATTTGCGACTAATGCTGATTTAACAGTCGCAAACATGTTTATCAGATGAGAAGACCATCACGGTAGCTCAGTCGGCAGAACGCTCACTCCGTGATCGGAAGGTCGTGTGTTCGAATCACAGCCTTGAATGACCTAAGTCAATAAAAATAGCTAGCAACTGTTCCTTCGCCAGGCGCTCGGCACTTTGAAGTGAAAGTTGTGGGTCCTTCGGGTGAGACCTTAAAAGTCGAGGCTCCTTGTCTGAGAAGGCGTTGGCACGATAAAGATCCCTCACTGCTCAATGGCTCTGAGTGCCTAATAAAAGTCTAAATTTGAAGTTCTTCGCCAATAAATGGTGACGTCTCTATATGAGTGCAAAAATCTCGAATAGGACGTTAAATAACATACAATCAAGCATATGAGAAGACAATTATTCCCTAAATTTACACTCAAAAGAATCATAGATCAACGTATGTTTATTCTTTTAATCTAAATATTTTTGGCATAGTTTGTATCAAGAAATCATAAATATGTGTATTAAGCTTTTATCTAGATTATTCGCCCTATAAACAGTACGCATAAAAATGCCATAACCAAAATGGAAGGGTGGCGAAAAATGGTTTTAAAAAAAATTAAAATAGCATGCAATGGTTACGAAGTGGCATCAAACTTCCATTTATCATTTATTTTTTCCAAGGGTTCGGCAGATTTTGAAAATTTTAAAGTTGTTTGACATATTATTTCCTGATCTATCCCATTGCCATTGGATATCAAGTGCATTAAAAAGGTGGAACAGCAGGATAAAGTACTCATTTGAATCATTAATCAGAATGTGGAACTTCGTGAAACTGATGTGTTTACAGAACGGAAAATACTGAAGGAACAGTATGAAAACAGTGTGAAAAATGTACGAAAGAAGAGCAGAAACAAGAGACTTATGGGCCACAGCGCTCACATGAGTCCATATTGCCCTGTCGTTCTTAATCAGGATATTTTTTCTCCTCAAATATTCATATGTAATCTTTGATTGCGCTTAGGTGTCATTTTTTGAACACAACTGAATCTAATGAACTACCGATTTCTTAGGATGCTTTCATAATTACATATGTATACGATTAATTATGTCTTTATTGTTCCACCGTACTAGGGCGAAGTTCATGATTTAAACAATTTTTACTTGTACACTCGCAGAGAATGATTCCGTATCAATATGTATGATCAAAGCCCTGTTGTTCCTGCAAAGAAGACTTTAATCCATTCTAAAAAAGTGTAATACCTTTGCTACGTTAAGGAGTGCTTGCGTTAACATTTGTGAGGAAATGTGTATCAAGTTTTATTGTTCACGATGTCATTTAAAATAGAACAAGTAACAAAAATAAATTATACAGCATGACGATCCGTAAATAAAATATTGCATACGTGTTATTTATCTATTATTTATAAGGGAATGCAAAATTTCACCATTTAATAACAAAAATGCTGAGTATTTAGAAACAAATCTTTTGTCATATATGACATAATTTGTCTTGACTTAACGCAGTACAAATCATCTAGAGGAGTAGATCCATGGGATGAATAATTTGAAAAATGCTTAATTAAAGATAAAATTATCGTCAATCTTTAAATCTAAATATCAAAACTGAAAAAAAAAATATTGAAAATAATTATATATATAATTAATTTATCAAGACCTTATAAAACTGTACAGAGTCAGATGAAGTAAATGAAATCGCTTATACGATAATCATATTCCCGATAAACCTCAAAAGTGCAAGGGCATACACTTGACTGTTTATGCTGAAATACGAAATATCAATTGCTTATATCAAGAATATTCTAAAAAGTGCTTGGAGTTGATTCTGCTCTGAAGAATATTTTTTTTTTTTTAAATTCAAAAACAATGTAAAGATCGAACTAGAATTTTTTTTTTCGTTTTTACGCATTGTCGGCAAAATTACCAGTACTTTCCAAACAACACAAACTAGCTCCAAGCACTTTTCAGGTAACGGATGTGATCCTCTATTAATGTGTATCAATTTTTATGGCCAAAAACAACTGAATGCCCTTGCACTACTGCGATTTTTCTACATTTCGTCTAATAATTATATTTTTTACCAGTCCGATACATTTCATGTATCTGGTACTAACTATGACACAAACCTATTCATTATACGCAACTAGATTATTTTTCCTACAATTTTTTAGTGACTAATGTTACAGTGATTATGAAATGTGATACATACTGAGAAGGTATTGAGATCACATTTCCCATTACCGTCCTTAACATAGCTGAGGTATGAAAACATAGAAGTTGAAATGCCCGTATACAATGAAATTCGTCAATTGAACATTATGATAAGATTTAATAGTCACCGACATTACGACATACATTAAAGGACATATAAAATTTAAAGTACACATATATATTTTTTAAATAATTTTGTATAAAAATTCATTTCAAAAATGCTTAAATGCCGAAAAGGCTCAATATCTACTTCTAAAATATAATAACATAATATATTTTTAAATAAAAATTACAGAGTGTACATTCGATCCTTTGACTTAAAACAACCAGCTTGTATAGGCACTTAGAATTAGTCTTGTCGGATGTTAAGGTATCTTCTTTCATGAGTTTTACGTTTGCAATATTTTACAGGTTGCTTTCAGGACCAATTTTCTATTTAAACGATTTAAATTAAAAAAAAACAAAAACTTGTGGATTAATGACTCCAGTTTGATAGAATCCTTGATGTTTAGATATATAGCGTGTACTATATTAAACATAGAAATGCATGTGTATTTTTCTCTCGTCTTTACATTTAGCTCAATTCATTTTTTACAAATAATTCTTCCCTTAGTTTCATTAAGTGCACCTTTTTATTATGAAGTCTTTAAATACTCAATGATTTGAATACTAGCGTCCGTGTATTGCCCTACTAATAGTCTTTGTCGGTCGTCAATCGACAAAGCAGTAGGGAAGCCGATGTTTTTCGAAATGTATCGTAAAAAGAATCCTTGGGAATCAATCATATGTATTGCGTGATTAAGATAGTCAGCTATAAGGATGTTTCCCATGCAATCCGAAGCTAAGCCACGAGGTGTGAAGGACCTAAATTCTGTTTTATCAGACTTCCCATTGTATATAAATTTCAAATCTCCTGCTGAAATGAATACAAACACAGCTTGTTTGCCTTCATCAGAGGTGCAAATATCTGAGTTTATATTAACACAAACATAAGTGGGCTTTATTAGACCATCTTCGGAACCCATGACCTACCTCATTTCACCATCTGACGTGTAGATACTCAAACGTCCTAGACTTTTGGTTTCGTTATGCTCAGGTACGATAATATCAGAAATTCTGCAAGCTAGACCCTTTGGCTTCCAGATATTATCAAAAGCTATAGTCTCTGTAGCTCCATTCTTAATCCTGTGTACACCCTGTTTGCTATCCGAGGTGTAAAATATGGTTTCGTCGTCAGCTTGTGAAAGATAATTTGGTTGAATTTGAACGGGTATTGACATAATTTCTTTCCCACAGAAATCTAGAACACGAATTGTGAAACTCTTTTTTATTCTGTAAGTACCACACACCAGTATATTATCATTCATTGAAACCAACAAGTCGAATATATATCCATATACTGTGTCAATCTTTTGAATTTGGTTTGCATATCCCAACAGTTTAATGTATTTCATCATTTCATGACCATTTTCTCTGTCAAGTTTTTCCTCTTGAAGTTTAGATATTGTGGCTTTTTTCGATGGCGTCAACGCTCCTAAGAATTCGCTACAGTTGAAATCGTTCTCGGATCGTTTGAAAACGGGAAGTATCCGTTCCATCAAATCGGGACAATGCTCAAAAGGATATGTCATGACTGTGTACGTAGCTAACTTTTTAGGGTCAGCCATTTGTCTAGAAATTTCATATTTAGTTTCTTCAATATTTTCAATGACTTTCTCCATTTTTATTTTGTTGTCTGTTAGACAATCAAGGTGTTCCATTTCCATGGCCTCAATCTGCATTTTTAGTTTTTTAACTGTTTCTTCAACTTTCTTCTGCAAAACTCTTCCTGCCTGTTCAACTTCCTGTCGAATAGCTGAATATTTTGCAGGAACATCAGAAAATGTTTGTTCATTGTCACTCGCAAGTTTCACATACGTATTTTTGAATTCTTCATCAATTCTCTGAAGCTCCTTTTCCATCAGCGTTCTTTGAGAGGAAAGGTGATTCTTCAGGAACAAGAAGTTATGTCCTTCGTGCTCAATTTTGGAGCAAACAGTACAGACTGGTTCACTACAATTTTTGCAAAATAATATGCATATTTCTCCACTATGTTTCTGGCAGGCTATTTTTGTAGATACTGGTCCACCAGCGTATGTAGAAGCAAAATGAGCAGGATTGGCTTTTATGTGTTTCCCAAGGCAATTTTCACAGATACGTTTGACACAACTACATAAGAAATCTACATTTCTTTCCCCGCAGTATTCACAACAAAGAGCTATTTGACATTCTTTAGACCCCTCCATTCTAACTTTAGGATAATAAACTTCACAAAACAATATTATAATAAAGTCGATCAGACTTCACGGGAAATATGGCGTTAACGAACAGCATTCAACTCAGAAGTCCATTCAAATAGTACACATCAGGAGCAGAGCAGACAAAACGTATATCACCTTGCGTGATTAAGCTTTGTGAAACAGTTTGTACATGTATCTGTTTATCTAATTTAATAGGACAACTCCTATATTTACTGACGGAAAAATATCAAATATATAAAAGATAACTAATGATAGTTTCTTATGAATAGACTTGAGTAGACTTGCTCAATGGATAGATATTTGTCGCACGCAAATAACTTTATCAATTTGTCATTCATACAAGGTACTTCTGTGCACAGTATGAAATATTTCAATATTTTGATAACGATTCAAACTATTATTTTTGCTTGCCATTTTTGTATCCCCCAGCACTAAATATTTAGACTTTTCTTATAAACCATACTTGAAAAATGTAATATCTTGAATGGGAGTCATTATTTCATAGCAATTTTTGTACATTATAAATATTTCAGCTGCTCTGATAAGTAAATTCAATGCGGTTTGTTGCGAAGGCTTAAACAAAAATTGCGCTGAAGGAAAATCAGAACCACTGACATTTTTTAACTTTCAGGTGCTCTCCAACATTAGCAAAAATATATTTTGAAAGCATGAAATATAAATATTGGAATTACGCAGTGCAGTTAAGGTGCCAAATGGAAATATCGGCGAATCTTTAGATGGAAAATACATTCTTTACAAGGATGGGCGATTCTTTATAGGACTTTACTATTATCGGACAAACGCAATGTGGTTGAAAACTACATGTTGAGGACGATTAGATTCCTTATTTAGACTTGTCACATGATGTGGCAGTCACGTGATTTTAGCAAATATACCTGAAGTATTGAGGTCATCTATAAGATCCAATATTGCAAGGGCATAACCAAGTTAAAAATCTAAGTTTAATCTATAACTATTTATAACACTCTTTGTAGTTTGTGAAAAGTGCTGCGAACCTATATAGATTCTACTATCTAATTGCTAAAATTACATTTGTTAGACCGAATGTTGAATATTTCGCTGGTCAAGTACATTAAATATAGATATAATTAATTCCTTTGCAAGAATTCAAGAGGTTCGCAGCACTTTTCAAATATCTTCATACTTCTTGAGTTCATGTGTAAAAGCTTGTCATAATTCATTGAGGGTATGCCCTTGCAATATATCGATTTATTACGACCCTTCTATTACCCTTTCAATGAATCTGCATACAAATATACGGCAGTATCGCTTGTCTAGGGAATGTACGGGAAGTATATGAATAAAATCATAAAATAAACATCTCAACCAAGTTAATGCCCCCTTATATATCTGCAAATAGTATTTCATTTAATTACAAAATACATTTTTCATTGCATGAAATATAACTTGATCCGCCTCTCACTGCATACAAACTGCGTCAAATTTTACGATATGACGTCACACTGACAAGTGCATTACGATCAGTTAATTGTTTACATACTGCTTTGTGGGATTTAACCAACGACAAAAATGCATGCACTAGTTAGTATTAATGTAGTTTAAAGCTATCCAACAGTTTGAAATAGCATATGATTTCATTTGATGGTATTTTGAAGAACTTATATTTTTGTGTGATATCATAGTAAGCATTTCCCGTATAAATTAGGCCCCGCCTCGTTACTGCAGCCTTAACTGTGCTGCGTACCGTACCTTTGGAGGAAACAAAAAACAAATCTGTTCAACATTTCTTCCACGGCATCATGTCACAGACGCATATTTTATTAGCTGGTAAAAATGTAAATATTCTTCAATGGTTAAAGCCTTAAAATAAACAAGTTCTATGTAAACAGCATTGTTGATTATTACTTATGAAGAAATTTGGCCATGGTACAAAGATATTAAAATAAAAGCATAAAAATGACCAACGACACGAACAATAAAAAATATCAAACTTTTTGGGACGCCCTGTCCCATCCTCTGGACAAAGAAAAAAGTTAAGAAGTCAAAAAACAAGAAAAAAAGTTAAGAAGTCGTAAAAACAAAGGAAACAGAGAAACAAACAAACAAAAGCAAAAAAAAAAAAAAAAAAAAAAAAAAAAAAAAAAAAAAAAGCACTTCCTCTTAACTACAATACGCTATGTATTTACAATGTTACATGCTTTATTTGAAGTTTATAACCAGTTGTAAAGAAATAAATTCGGACCGGTATGAAATGCGCCCAGTCTGTTGGGTGTACACTGGTGAAGTGCGATTTACATATTTGAACGTATCAATTACCGCTAATTAATTAAGACCAAGTATTAAATCGTAAACTCTCTCAAAATAGCGCAATAATACATGATAAAAAGAAAGTAACAAAACAAAAAAAGATAATATGGAGGGCAAATTTTACAATATGAATTGGGCTGTATTATAAATTTGGAAATGTTGGATTATGGTCAAAAACCACTACTGTCATGTCCTCCTATTTGTGACATTCAAGGATGAAATTTTCCCCAACGGGTTCAATGAGTTTCGTGGTCCTAATGGTCGAACGGTGATTTTTGACTCTCTTGTGGAGATCTCCCTTTTCCCAAACATATTAAGTGGAACAAATTTTGTAAGTTGTGAAATATATGCAGTTGTCAGTTTGACAGGACAAATTCCCTAGTATTCTGTAGGAGCGGCCTGTAACGGGGCTGTTAAAGCTAGCTGTGTCAGAGCTGTGCTTAGACGTATTCTGTCAGAGCAAGTTTTAAAGCCAACGTTAGGTAATGGATTGTCCAATCTGGTTCTTACTATCTTGTCGTTAAGGTTCCTCTGGCGTCTGTATGCAGTCAATGGATGTTCCTTTAAAAACCTCTGCCATTCGTTTGTTTGAGTGGAGAATTGGCAGGTTCTTTTTAAGGATACAGCTGATGTGTACGGTGCGAGTTTTGAAGTTTCTGTTGCATTAGTGGGAGTTGAGGAGACTGCGTTGTTCCTGATATAAAGCAGGGGATAAACAGATGTGCCAAATTTTGGTGGCTAGACGCTTATCCACACCCTTAAATGTTTAGAGGGTGACAGCTAGCCGGTAATAATATACAGATGATTCAATTATTTAGCTCGCACCGTACACACTAGTATTGATGAGATGGCAGGACATGACAATCAAAACCTACTACATCAAAGGAGAAAGACGATAGCATCAGGGTCCCTCTGGTAACCACATACCATCCCGTCCTTAAGAACATCAGCGGTATCTTTAGAAAGGACGCCAGAGAAACCTTAAAGACATGGAAGTAAGAACCTACGGAAGCCCAATAGTGCAAAGCAAAACTAAATGAAAAACGAAATTATGAAATAAAAAGGGAAATTATTAGCTAAAAAACGAAATAATTAAATAGAAAACGAAATTATTAAATAAAAAACTGAAACTGAAATATGGAATTTAGATGTGCATGGTAAGGGCGAGAACCAATGAATCATTTCATAAAGCGCACGTGTTATAGAGCATTAATTCAATAGATCTGATTTTGTTTCGACTTTAAAACAAGTGTGATGATATTTGCATTTACACTCGGCTATTCCATTATTGCAAGGATGCCTCTTCCAAAGTTGTGAATATCATGGCCCCCGGGTCAAGGGTTCTGGTGTTAGGCCGGGGCTCTATTGATTATAATGTGAAAATGTTTTAATTCTTTAAAAATCTTCTTCTCTTCTCCTGGATATTATTTATACAAACTAAGTACATTGTTATGATGAGCAAGGATGCCTCTTCCAAAATTGTGAAATTCATGCCCCCCAAAACAGGGGTACTGGTGATAGGGCGGGGCTGTATAGATCCTATAGTGAATTATTTCTTTGAAAATCTCTTCTTCTCTGCCCCTGGGTATTATTTAAACAAACTAAGTACATTGTTATGTACAATGTCTCTTTCAAAATTGTGAATTTCATGGCCCCAAGGTAAAGGGTTCTGGTGAAAGGGGGGGGGGGGGCTATATTAACTATGTAGTGAACAAGCAAAATTTCTTTAAAAATATTCTTTTCTGCTTCTGGTTAAAAACAAAAACAAAAAAGCTAAGTGTATAGTTATGATGAGCAAGAGTGCTTCTTCCAGTGTAGTGAATTTCATGAACCCTGGATCAGATCTGCTGGTGTAAGTGTGGGGCTCTTGATAATATAGTGAAAATGCATTTATTCTATTAAATGATCCTGTCTGCTCTTTTGTGTTAAGCAGAAAACAAACTGATTAGTTATGGTGAGCAAACTTCCGCTTCCAGGGTCAGAGGCTCCGTTATTTTTCGGTGGGGAGTGTGTGTGTGTGGGGGGGGGGGGTCTATTGATAATATACCGGTAGTGAATATGTAATAAAAATGCATTATTTCTTTAAAAATCTTCTCTGCAGCTGGGCATATCTGAGGCAAAGAGAGTAAAAGTTTTAATAAGGAAGTTTTTTTACCAGTTTGTTGAACATCTGGACCATTTGGCCAAGTGTTCTTGTCCTGGCCAGGGCTCTATTAATTTGTATTCTACTAAGAGGAGTTATTCCCCTTTGCCATGTGTCTTTGATAATTAATGTAATAATGCACTTGAAAGGTTAATATAATAAGAGAATTATGCAAGAATTTTTAATGTATAATACAAAAAGTTCTTTCATCATTTTAATGATCATGTAGACTTGTAAGTAATAAATAAAAATGAGACAAAAATAACTTGTTTTATTAAATGTTCATAAAAGACCAAGAGAGGCCAATGTAAGAGATTTCAACAAGGGATTAAAATAGAACAGAAGCATTGATAGTTTGTTTATATACTGTATGGTGATAGTGATAAATGGGGAACAGATAAGAACCTAATTTATGAACTGTTAATGAATACGAGACTAATTATTTTGTTGATCCTGATCACCCTATCCGGTATTTTTCTTGCTTTCGGGCAACAAAGTTTCACCTTTCAGTTCATTTAATACTCTATGGATCATCTCAATTGTTGTATTATAC